TATATAAAATTTCCCTTCCTCTTCCACCACTCCATCCATAAGAGACCCCCATAATCTTACACTTCTAATAATTTATATTTAAATACATATCCTCCCCACATGCTTTTATCCTTTTATTCAAGTGCATTTCTCTCAGACACACACCTAACTACACTTCCTCCTCCTCCTTATTCCCTATATTTACCACTATGTGTATTGCGTCTATCTCCTTATTTCTTACGTGTTCCAATTATCTCTATCCCCTCCCCCCTCTTCCTCCCATTCCCCTTTATCATTAATCACTTCCTCATTTAGTTTATTTATGTGGCACTTCTACTTTGTCTGTGTGATACAACTCGCATCATATTCCCTTACCCATACCTTTTTTATTCTTCGTAAATGTGTGTCTTAACAACACCGGTTTTGATAAATTCCCCTCAAAGACTTCTGTAAAATGTATGCATAAGTGGGAAAGAAGGCAAATTCGGTAGCATTTTTTGTAGATGTAGTCTTTTTATTTTCAAAAGGAGATGGTGGGCATTGGGGTGACCTCCTCAACCCACTAGGGACTGAAAACATCACACAGACTTTGAGCCAAAACAGTGGCAGCACTGGTTTAGTATATTCCCTGTAAATGTGTGGCCCACCATGGAAATGGCATTTTCTCAGAAAAAAAGATCCCCTTTTGGATAGTCATATTTGCATACATTTTCCAATGAGCATTAAGTTTCTTTTAATGCAGATCATTTCAGCTTCTGTTCTGCTGCAGTCTACACAAACTAATTGGTTCTCTGTTCTAACAAATCACTGTGTTCTCCCAGCCAGGGCCTGTGACCCTCCTGCCCTTTGTTTGCTTCCTGCTGTGCTGCTGAAGAATTTGCACCCAGCTGCCACTAGAGGGAGCTCTTAGATGGCAGGAGATTCAGCATTTGCCTACATGCTGTGATGTTGGGAACACTCCGATTTGTTGTCTTTTGTGTAAGCTGCAGTTACAATAACTGAAAGTGCAGTTATTCTACTAGTTTCTATTCTTTTGTGTCACAGTTGCTAAATAAAATGTATTGCGTAGGAGTAGTATTGTATGTCTTTGTAAATCTCAGATATAAATTATAAGTCCCCGAGGAGCAGGGATGGAAAAAACTGCTCAACTGGTCATATTATTTTGAAATGAATCACTATTGTCCATTTTTAAGTGTTTAAATTGTTCTATTAGCATGGCGCTGATTCAACGAAAAAGAATAGAGATGGAAATACAGCGTTAGACCTGGTCAAAGATGGAGATACGGACATTCAGGACCTCCTGCGTGGAGATGCGGCCTTGTTAGATGCTGCCAAGAGAGGCTGTGTAGCGCGAGTGAAAAAACTCTGTACTCTGGAAAATGTTAATTGTAGAGATACACAAGGCAGACATTCTACACCATTACATTTAGCAGGTGAGTGCAATGCCATTTCTCAGAGTTGTTTTGTAGCACTCTTTAGCCTTATATTAGTGTTAGCAGAGTGACTTCTGATTAGTTGCTTCAGGTTCCTACACATGATGGCAAAGTTTTAAAGATGTGCAACCTTTTTATGACCGGGGTACTTTGAGCCTTAGTGAATGGTGTGCATCTGGTCACTTTAATTATTTTTTCGCCAAACAATTGTGGCAGTGTGCCTCAACTTTGCAACAGGTCTTGTAGATGTAATGGCCTTTAGTCATTCAAATGTATCTATAGTATAAATAGTCACTGACCCTACACCTGATGTGGCCTGTGCAAAGATCCTATGCTAAATACCAACCATACCCCACTGTCTGTAATTGCACACTGTTACTGCGCCGCAATGTGACCGCTATTGGGAATGGCGGTGACTGCTTGGGCAGGGAAAGCCTGCATTTATGCTATATAATGAAAAGTATCCGGATGTTCCCTGGGGTCGCAGCATGGACTAGCATGGTAGAGTCTGTAAGGGCATTAAACAGCAGAAGGTTAGATAGGGTTGTATTTTTTTTATGTATGCCATTTTTTAAGGGGTTAAAAATGACAAGTATTGGGACGCTGTATCAAACATATCTTTTGGAATTTGTGTGCCTAAAATTAGTTTTTTTTTTGTACATGTTCCAGCTGGCTACAACAACTTAGAAGTGGCAGAGTACTTGTTACAACATGGTGCTGATGTGAATGCGCAAGATAAAGGAGGACTTATTCCACTGCACAACGCAGCGTCATATGGGGTACCTTTTTTTTTTTATTTCATGAACTTGGTTAATGCCCTTTTTTTTGTAATTTTGAAATGTTTTTAAGGAAAAGTATTTTAGAGAAAACTGACTATTATTCATGATTTACTGTCTTAAAAGTGTGACTGAGAAGTGCACTATTTTTTTTCCCAAGCAGACCGCACTGGAATGCAGGTCATTGTTGTACCACATGTTCCAGTGCGGACGGGAGGCATGTCTGCGGTGTCATTTAAAATTAATGGCACTGGTGCATCCCTTCCCACCCTAGAACGTGGGGACTCAATAAGTGGTCCAGTGCAATTATGCCACGGGACTGTAAGATGAATGCACTGGATGGTGGGAACAGGCCCTCAAGCTCAAGTGTCATCTTTTGGCCAAAATTGCGATGCATCTTTAGTTTCTCTCCTCCCCGCTGTGCACTGCTTAGTGTCTGCTGTGACACGGCACAGCGTCCTGTGGGGAGGAGACAAACTGTAAGGAGCGGTGTGTGGAGGAGAGAGCTGTGAGTGTGTCACAGGAGACTGAGCTCTCCTCCCGCACCGCCCCCGCTCAGCCTCCTGTAACTAATCAGGAGAGATGAGTGGGTGGAGATGGCTGTCAAGGAGGCTGAGTCGGTGGTGAGGGAAAGGAGTCAGCTGTCATATGAGACTGAGCTCTCCTCCCTGTTCCGCCACTCAGCTTCCGTGAGAGCCAATCCACGATAGAGAGCGGTACAAGCACTCAACGATCAGTGATCTCTGAATGTTTGTCAATAACTGGACATAGTATGAGTTACTGTGTACCTGTTATGAATGAATAGGAAGTGATCTACATTACTTCCTATACATTCATGATTGTTTATGAATGATTAAATAAAAATGTCAAAAAAATTAAAAGTTTAGAAAATAAAAACAAATTTTGGTTTCAGCCTGACTCTTTTTTTTTTTTTTTTTTTAATTTTCTGTTTTGGTCTCAACTTTTCATTTCGGTGCACCTCCTAGTTGTAAGGCAAAAACCATCTGTATGGCTCATTTGGTCACTCAACAGTTACCCTGTTATATTCTTTGTAAAAAAATTTGAGCATAGAGGGAAAAACCATGCACACATTGGGAGAACATACATATGGAAACGGAGCCCTGGGATTGCATTGAAATAGAACTTTGCCGGAAAAGAAAAACAGATTGCAAGGAGTAAGGCTTTTTGTTTTGCACAGGAGGCAAACTGTCTTTTCCGCAATAAAAGCTTCTTACCTCCTGTTGCTAGCAACATCTTTAGAATGTAGACTGAGCTGCTCAGTGTATGTTATCTGCATGCGCAGGAGTTGGGTCATCCTAGGTTGGCCGAAGAGAGGGAAAAATTGTCGGTGAGTGGCTTGGATGGGGAGGCGAGTGTAGTGCTTTGAATTCTTGCAAAGCACTGTCCTTGTTTCATATTGTTAATAAACCTTCCCTTCTGTGAACGTCAATAGTTCTGTACTAAAAATCTGTATGCAGGAGAGAGATGCAACATTCCAGAAATTAGAATTCAAAGCAGATTGTTAGTTATGCTGTTTTTGATGAACGGTGTATTTTCCCTTAGCCTTACCAGTTTAGCTTTGGGAAGGATTTGGCAGTTTTATTTTAACACACCAAGCTGGTTAATAAATAATAAAAAAAAAAAAGTCCATCGCCCATACAAGCCTCACAATGGGGGGAATTTATCAAAATCTGGAGCAGATTTGCACTGCAGCCAATCAGTGTCTTTCATTTTCAAAACTTACCTGAGCAAACTGAAGAGAGATGCTGATTGGTTGCCATAGGCAACTGCTCCAGATTCAGTTTGCCCCAGTTTTGATGAATTCCCCACAATGTCTTGTCATTCAATCCTTATTCTGATAACTGCTTAGCATGGCGGTGTCATGTGTCCGCAGTTTCTCTGTTAATTGGAGAGCTGGATTGTATGTTTTTTAATAATGCATGAATCGTACCATGGGCAAAACGACAGCAGGTATTGATAGCATGGGACCAATAAAACTTTATGTTCAAAAGCCGCTTGGGTAATAAAGGTGTTCTTGCCACCTTCTCTGTCGGCTCATTTTATGTAATTTTCTTGAAGTATTATTTTGCTGAAGTTAACGCCAACTTTAGGTTATCTGCAGATTAATTTGTTGATCTGTTTTCTGTTTTTATTGGGCCAATAACAATAGTCTTACTTTTTGTATCTGATATATAGTCATTTTGTGATGGTAGTGTATATTACAATAACCAAATTTGTCTTTTTTTTTTATTTTTTTCAGCACGTGGATGTGGCTGCTCTACTTATTAAATTCAATGCTTGTGTGAATGCCACTGATAAGTGGGCTTTTACATCACTGCATGAAGCCGCTCAGAAAGGAAGGACACAGCTTTGCGCATTGCTTCTGGCACATGGCGCCGATCCTACACTGAAAAATCAGGAGGGGCAGACATCCTTAGACCTGGTTACAGTAAGTAGTCAAATGTTCCTCTCTTTGTGGTAATTTGCATTGACATTTTCTTGTTTTGCGGTATACCTCTTTCTATATGATGGATTCTACACAAATTTTAACCACCCCAAATTGCAACCCATCAAATTATCTTTGGCATAAGCATTATCTTTCTCCACAGCAATAGATAGCTTTTGATAATTCCACAATGTCCTCATGACCATGATGTCATTGTTAATTGTTCTTGTTCATCTATGACTAGAACAACTTTGATCCATTTTTTTCTTTTTTCTAACTACAGTCTTAGATCCTTGACAGCATTTTTCGACTGTAGTTAGAAAAAAAAGAATGGATCAAAGTTGTTCTAGTCCTAGATGAACAAGAACAATGACATCATGTTTTAACCAGTGTATTTGCCTGTTAATGGAAAACCTGAAAGCAGAAACCGTCTGTTAACTTAGATGTGGTAACTAATTGACTTTTACAACTTGCTTGAACAATGGCCTTATGAATAATGCTGGATATGGGAAGTGTCCAGTTAGGGTATTTAAATTGGCAACAAGTCAAGTAATATGTGTCATCTTGTGGTCTGCAGATGTCTCTAGATTAGTGATTTTTGTGAAGTTAGGGCAGTAATGCTTTGCCCCTGACAGTGTAGCAAATTATCTTGGTGCCATTTTATGCTAAAACCAGAGATTTCACACCAACGTAAACCACTCGTATGGTGGAGCACCAATTTGCTGTTGTCTGCTACAGCTACTCCCATCAACAATTCAAACCTCTTCCAGGATCTGTCACTATACTCATGTTTTGTAATTGGTATAGCTATTCTAATTCTCAATAACGTTTAACATTTGTCAGATCTTTCAAACTTTTAATGTGGCCATTTGTTTTTGTTTTTCTTTATACAGGCTGATGATGTACGTGCCCTTCTAACTGCAGCGATGCCTACTGCATCCTTACCAGCATTTTATAAACCACAGCTTATCAACGTTTCCCAGCCCACGTCCTCAACAGCAGGAGTCTTATCTTCAGTGCCCTCAAGTCCACCCACCCTTTCTGCTGCCAGCAGTTTGGATAACCTGAGCACCAGCTTTTCAGAATCGCAGTCTACATCTAGTGGGGGAGCTGAGGGGGCTGTGGCCTTGGAGAAGGAGGAAGGTAACTTACTTCTGGTGTCCTTTTTAAATATTTTTAAGATCTTCTCTCAAACACTATATATTAAATTCTATTGTTGTAATCGTAAGACTCTGCCACTTTTGAAATACAAAACTCTGTCTATCAGCAGCCTTCAATATCCTTAACGAGGCGGAGTCCCTTTAAATTATAAACCCTATCTCACAATTTCTGTAGATTTCAGTTATTAGGTAATTGTATGTTCAAAAAACATTTTGTTCCTAGTGATATGAATGCAGACTGCTCCCAGAAAAGTGACAGATGACATCACAGGAGTCTAACCTTTTTATATAATATCTAGATTTGAATTTGCTGTGCCAGCTATTTTAAAATGTATTACTGCAGCACATGTATGATGTACAGTGCTGCCATATATGTATCTGAACAGTTAGAATGAACAATACCAAGCATAGTAAATAGCTGGAATGGGCATGCCAGGAAAAGGCTAAGCGTGGAGCCAGAACAGAAGTAACTTTTTCATTGAAAGGATCTTAATTTTTCCTTTTTTCTTTTACAAAGTCCCTGGATTTGATCTCAGCATCAATCAGTTTTTGCGGAACCTTGGACTTGAACACTTAATTGAAATCTTTGAGAGAGAACAGGTAAGCCCTCGAATAATTTTAGGTCTTCTACAATGTTATTATCTTGGCTTGGACTGCTCAGTTATGGTTTTCTAGTTCAAGTTTGGAGGTTTTGCCCAAAGCAGTTTGTGTTTGCACACAGGTATAGTTTGCTCTTGAAAATATTTTGGTTTGTTTTATTTTAGTATAGTATATTTCATGCTAAGGCATCATTCACACTGACGCACGTATTGTCCCATATGCAAAATATGCAAATAAATGGCTCCATACACATAGCTGCGTATGGAGCCGTATATTTGCGTAGCGTAAAGATGCGCAAAAACAATGTAACTGAGTTGCGTATTTTACGCGCACACATGTTTACATGCGTACAGTTCATTAAAAGTTCTATTATGAATGATGCATTCTGGGATTGCATATAGTGCACGCATATACGCACATACACGCGTATATACGCAATATACAATTTTGCTCTTGCGTTGTGTGTGAATGAGGCCTAATGCTGCAGTGTTTGTTGAAAATTTGTTTTTGTTTTTTTACTCCAAACTGATTCCCAATAGCAGTTTATTTAAAATGTATTTAGTTTAAGTAGGCAGCATATAGAAACATATATTTAGATTGGCTTGTTAAAAAAAAGAAATGACTTTGTATAGTGTCCATTGTATCTGCTTTTCTATATACTTTTTAATGTAACCACTCACCTTTGCACGATAATGGCAGGAATGCTTGAATTTAGTCTACACTATTAACCCCTTCGTGACTGACGACGTACAGTGTACGTCGCCAGCATCGGGGCTGTTTAATATGAAATCACCTTGTCATGTCTGTCTGTCTGTAGATCACACTAGATGTTCTTATTGAGATGGGGCACAAGGAGTTCAAGGAGATTGGAATTAATGCTTATGGGCACAGGCATAAAATAATCAAAGGCGTGGAGCGGCTCATATCAGGCCAACAAGGTAATTACTGTGTCCTTACATCTGGAATAACGTTTTTGCAAAGTAAAACATTCAGGAGTAGAGAGCATCTTATTGTACAAGTGTAAAATATGGGGCCATTCCCAGCATGCATGTTATCATGCACATAACGCACACTTGCTGCTGGGTGGTTTAATGTTGGTAACGCGTATTGCTGCTTTTTTTTTCAAGAATATTCTGAACGTTTAGTGTTTTTTATATTGGCTTGATCTCTGATCCTTCTGACTCATTTCTAGGTTTGAATCCTTACTTGACACTTAACAACTCTGGCAGCGGCACTATATTAATTGACCTAGCTCCAGACGACAAAGAATTCATGTCTGTGGATGAAGAGGTAATTATAGTTGGAGGATTAAGATACCCCCTACATTTTTTTTTAGCCTAAATGATGACTATTTCAATGTTCCGAATACATTTTTAAGATGCTACAATTTTGGCATTTCCATTCATGCTTGTCTTGGATGTTCCTCAGGAAATGCACCTTTGCCAAAATGATTATGCATACTGACTTTAATTGTGCATGGGTGCTGTATGGGGTTTCTCATAGAACCTTTGACAAAGTATGGTTATGTGCACCAACGACCACTTTTATGGTTCCATTTAGTCAGGGGGTCTGCAGGCAGCTGCATTACCTTAATCAGCATGGGGAAAAAATGAAACCACACTTGTTTTTTTTTGGGGGGGTGGCGGTTTTGCCCACAGATTTGGGCAGTTCAAACTGCGCTTATTGTAAACAAATTTATATACAAAGATCAATTTTTGTGAGGACAAGTAGTAGATTCGGATAGGCAAGGTTTGCTTTTTATGTGAAAGCTGGTCCACATCCGTCCTCACACTCCTTGTGAATCCCCCCCTATTGTTCTTTCGGTCGCCTCAGTGATCAGTATTGTGGCTCGCAGAGCTGGGAAGAGCAGAATGAAACTTAAATTTTATGAGAAAGGTTGAGATGTGCATATAGGTTCAGCTGACTATTTGGATCTACTGGACTTGTATGTGCATTTTTTTTTTCCATCATATGCTTGGTTTATATTCTACAGGGTTTTTTTTTTTTACTAAAGAATTATTGTGAAGTACTTCCTGCTCACAGAGCAAGTCTTCCGTCTATCATATTAGTCAGTGGATGAATGGTTGATCATTTCAGCCTGTGTTCTTTTTATAAATTGGTGCTCTCTACATTCTTTCATTCTCCAGTCATTCCAGTTTCAAAGTCTTATGTGATCATTTTTATTTGTTACATTCTGTAGATGCAGAGTACTGTCAGAGAGCACAGGGATGGAGGACATGCTGGTGGAGTCTTCAACAGATACAATATATTAAAGGTGTGTAGCTGTTGCGCTGATCCTTTATTTTGGGGGGACATTTTTTTAAGCTTTTGCATAAAAGAAAACTAACGCCAATACTTTGTTCATTATTGCTACAGATTCAAAAGGTATGCAATAAGAAACTCTGGGAAAAATACACACACCGGCGAAAAGAAGTTACTGAGGAAAATCATAATCATGCCAATGAAAGAATGCTCTTTCATGGTAAGTCTGAAAACATGGGTTGAAGATGGCTGAAGAGAGCTCTGTTCCTATTTGGACAGTGAGAGTGTTACATTTTTAAGATTTACTAAGAATTCTGTACTTTGCAGCTTGATTTCCTGAAATTTGCTGCATTTACTGACGCCCACTACAACTATGACCATGCCTTTTTGGAAATGTATACAACCCCATTCAAAAGAATTTCTGGATGAGTTTTTGTTTTTACACATAAGACATTCAAGTGGATGTTTCACCTACTGGACTTGAGGGATAGTGTTTACAGCCTACATAGCACATGCCAATATCACACATAAACATCTGCCAACAATAGAGGTGACTTCTCTGGGGAAGTGCATGCACCATAGTGAACAGGTCACCAACAGTATGGTGGCTGAATATTGCTGACAATCTGGGGAAGTCCATGGCAGTCTGAACAGTCAGAAGCCTTAGTCTGACTTAGATCTGTTTGTTGTATATGACTATATAATTTCAGAGGCGGGGGGTTCATATGCGAGAAGGTTACTCGTAGAGCATCAATTTGGTACTCCTGCAGGAGGAGCAACTGCCTATTTTCTGAATAACCGTTTCTATGCCTTTTTAATAGTTCTCAGACTGAATAGATTTCTTGATTTAAAACAAGAATGGGTTATTTTCATCTATTTACAATGATCTCTATCCTTTTATTAGACATTGCATTCTGGGTAGTAAAATATTAGACATTTTGGAGGCAATTGATTAAACACTTCTTTTTTTATTGACTGTATTCCTGTAAATCCTTGTACATAGCCAACTGTAAAATGTAATCAGGTACCCAGGAGACGTGCTGATTCTTTTTTTTTTTTTCTTTGTTCTTTTATCTAAGCAATTTTTCAAATGACTGCCCAGTATTGTCTAATGGGCTGTTGCTCAGCCTTTTAAAGCTGCAGTTATACATGTCAAGTGTTCCATTTTCTCCCTTTTCTAGTTGCTGGCCTTTTGGAGAGTTTTTAGAAAGGGATTACATTGTAAAATGATCACCCTACTTTCTACATTTAATCTGGAGAAATCCGAAATTGTGCAACCCTTCTTATGGTCCTGATCCAGATGTTGAGCCACATGCCCCTCAGCTGTGGTGGTTTATGGCTAACTTTGGTTCAGGTTGGCAAAAGGTTTAAAGGCTTTTTTTTTTTTTTTCTTTTTCATTATTGTGAATAGATTATTTGATCTCACTTAAATTATAGAGATGCGGATTCACTGCTGTGGAACTAGTGGAGGCCTGTAAATTAGAATATGGTAGTTTTGCAGCAGGTTTTTTCCAAATAGGTTTGTATCTTTGCAGCCAATTTCCTTCAAAGAAATCCTTTCAGGGTGACTTCAATCTATTACAAACAACGTTCCCATCCAGCACTGACTATTGCTTGTCCCTTGGATGTGGTGATACATCTCTGTGGATTTCGCTGTACCTGATGCTTCATGGGAGTCTTCTGCCCTGCAGTTGGCACTGCATTTAGAGCAATCTGGCAATGGCAACCTCTGTAGCAACAACTGCAGTCTGTGCTGGAGGTCATGTAATATATGGACATTGTGTGGTGGTATATTAATCACTACTATTGCTTGTTAGTATGTAGTACCTCTTTATTTTTAGGTTTTAATTTTGGTCCACAGTATGCAGATTTCCCCTTGCTTCCGATGGGAACAGGAATTGATAGGACATTTTCTCAGAGGGGATATAGACTACACCTAAAAGCTTAAGGAGAGATTAGAACGCATCAATTTAATTGTACTGCAAGACCGTGAGATGACAGCAGCAAAATTTGAATGAGTGTTTACTTTTCCCAAGTTTATGCAAATATTAAAGGAGAACTATGAGGTGAGTGAAAATTACTCAGCCTCATAGTTCTAGCCGACCTGTGACAATGAAACTGTCGCACGTCGGCTCAATAGATCGGGAAGTGAGCCAACACACACCGTCGCTCACTCACTTCTCGATCCTGTCCCTGCAGAGAGCCGTGACTGTCACTCACAGCTCCCTGCAGGGATTCCCCCCCTCCCCTGTCCGAGGGTCCAGCGCTGACTGGCGGAACGGACGGGGGAGGGGGCGGGTACAGCTCGGTCTGCCTCTAGATAGGCAGAGCCAGCTGTCACTCATCCAGCTGGGTGGATCCAGACAGTAATGTCGGGATCAGTCCCGGCTGCGGCGTCTCAGTATACTGTGAGCTGTAGCTCACGGTATACTGAGCTTTGGGCGACGGGAGGACGCTACCCTTAGGAGAACTATGGGGAAAAGCCCTGACCCCCCATAGTTCTCCTTTCAAATAAATGGCTGGAATTGGGCTTTAACCCTTTTGCTGCCACCAGCATATGTCAGTAGCAGCGGGCCCCTGTAAACGGACTAGTTGCCTGGGAGTCTTCCTGTGTAAAGCCAACTGTCCACTTTATACTGGAAGTGATTTGGGCCGCTGTAAAGCTGCCTGATTGCTTCCAGGGGCTGCCAAACATGTGCTGGGGGGGGGGGAAGTAAAAATTTAAAAAATGCCCCTCCCAAAAAATGTTTTATGTTCCCCGTCCCCACTCATACTAAAGGAAAAATGCGTCTTGACGTGCTTACGTACTAAAACGATGATTGCACCCCACATTAGGCATCATCGCATATGCCAGAGTGAGAGCAATAATTCTAGCGCCGATATTGGCAGTAACTCTAATGACCTGTACAGACTTTTAAAACGTTGCCTATGGACAATTTGGGGTTTGTTTTTTTTTTTTTTTTTTTTTTATTCTTCTTTCGCCCCGACACGGGCGCACAATTTTTAAGCTCGACTTGTTTGGTATCTTTTTACTCTTATATTTTACAACAAAATTGGGTATTGTGTTTTTGTGCACTAACTGTAAAGTGTATCACAACCAACATTTCAGTAAAAAATTGAGTTGCTCTAATATGTGATATGAATTTGCAACAGGGTCTTTACTCTCAGGAAATATATCATTCTGGGGGGTTTTAAGCAATTTTCATGCCTAAAATGTGGATTATAACGTGTGCAAAAAAAAATGTGCAAAAAAATTACTCTGGCAGCGAAAGGGTTAAGTCATACAATACCTACAACACCCACATTCTGTTTGCTGAAGTGGGCTCCCTCTTAGTGCAACCACTGCTGCTGTGAAGCTTCTGCTTCTCCACCACAGCCGAGGGCACTGATTGCTTGACATTGTTCAAGTGAAGTTGAAGCAGCTCTTGAAGCGATAGTGCGTAAATGAAAGGCATACATTGCAAAAGCTTTCATGCGGTTTTGCGCGTTCTCACAAATACGTCGCTGAGTTTTCGTTTTAATACTGTTTGGGGAAAAAATAGATTTTAGCTGATGTAATGTTATGAGGATAATTCATACTTTTCATTTGCTCACAGGTTCTCCATTTGTAAATGCAATAATTCACAAAGGGTTTGATGAAAGGCATGCATACATTGGTGGAATGTTTGGAGCTGGTATATACTTTGCTGAAAACTCATCCAAAAGCAACCAATATGTCTATGGCATAGGAGGTGGAACGGGCTGCCCAGTGCACAAAGACAGATCTTGTTACATTTGTCACAGGTAGGAACCTTTACTGTTAACTTGAACTAGGCTAACATCTCCTTGTATTTGTTTAGAAGGCTCATAATCATCCGATGAGGTGCTGGATACTTTATTAATGCATCCCATATTTCAGCTAAAGATGAACTGTAGCTATCTAGAAATTGGCAAGTTAAACAGCTGGACTTGTGGCTTTATAAAGATGGCGTCCATTTGTTCATTTAATTAGCTTTTCCTGGCTTCAGTTGCTGTTCAGGAATCGGCTGTTGTGTGTCTGTGATCTCCTTTCCAAGGGAAAACCCCTGTTTGCGTATAAACTCGCCTTTGGAATGAATAGAGATTGCAATGCATGGCCACCAGTAAAAAAAAGTGACACTGGACACCAGCAGATGGCAACGTTTGTGTGCTTTTTGTTTATATAATGTGAATCTTGGTTTGTACTATACTTTGATACCCTATTCAGAAACCATATGTTTACAAGAAACAGTCTATCACAATAACATTGAATAGTTTTCAATCTACACTGTAATATAGTTTACCCCACGCTGAAGGGTCAGTGCATTTAGTTCCCTAAAGGATTTATGTTCACTATGTAATGTGTGGTAAGAAGGCTAGCTATCTGGGTAATAAGCACAATTTGTTCTTTTGCTTACAGACATCTGCTGTTTTGTCGAGTGACATTGGGGAAATCATTCTTGCAGTTCAGTGCTATGAAGATGGCACACTCCCCTCCTGGTCATCACTCAGTAACTGGGCGGCCTAGTGTTAACGGCCTTGCTCTAGCAGAGTATGTCATCTACCGGGGAGAGCAGGTAACGGAGTCTTTTAATTTCAATATTCCAACATTTTTTACCTATTTTGGATTTTACTGCTACAGAAGAGCGTGCGTGCGCGTGTTAGAGGTGTACTGACAAATGGAAATTTCAAAACCGAAATAAAGTCAGACAGAAAATGTTTTTTATTTAAATTTTTTCAAATTGTTTTTTAATATTTTTTATTTTTAATATTTTTATTTATTTTTACTTTACTTTTATCGGCTTCAGGGAAATATTGGGGGTCATACCCCTGATATTTCCCTTTTTAAATAGAAAGAGTTTGAGGACACGAGTCCTCAATCTCTTTTTCTGCAACCCCTGTTCTAAATGAACAGGAATCCTCTATACTGAGTGTTCTTGTTCATTCATAACATGAGACAGAGTAATATGTTTACTATAACCACAACTATGAATGAACAGGAGGTGATGTAGATCACTTCCCTTTCATTCATAATTGAGGCTATAGTAACCATACTATTTCCTCAATTATGTACAAACTGTCAAAATAAAACAAAGTGGCGTGCAATCGAAGCAGCTGATTACTCCCCATTCCAATGGGAATCGATTTTTTTCTTGACATAAAACATATGTTTTAGGTTAAAAAGTGTCTGTGTAGCCTCAACATATATTGTGCCATACATTTACATTGGAATCATGGATGGTATGCTGAAAGCAAACCAGTTGCTACAGTAATGTTTCCAAGGTGTTACTGTAAAAGAAGTGCACATTCCTTTCCTGCTGCTGCACTCGGTGAGAAATGGTCCCCCAAAATCTGACGGTAAACCAACACTTCCGGAGTATCAATCTCCGGAGTCCTCCACAACTCTCGCTGGTTCCTCCTGCTGAGCTGTACGTCGCTACTCTATCCTATAATGACGTTGAGGTCGGTTTAGGAGATGGACACTCCCTGAAGTGACTGTTTCTCAGCAGAAGACAATTTCTCAACCACTGTAATCTGCAGGCAGGGAAAGTATACACACTTGTTTATTGGTGGACCTTTCCCTGTATACTTGTATAGGGTGGCTTGATTGAACATGTGAAAAAAATGGGCTAATGATGCATGTCTATGATCTCTCTCTAGGCCTACCCAGAATACCTAATAACGTATCAGATAGTGAAGCCTGACGCTGCAGTAGAAGGATAATCACAAAGCCCCTTGAGCCTCCCGGACTTACATGTGGAACCGGAATCTTCGTGATGGCCAATCAGAGAGCCTTTAATAAACAATGTGAAAGCATTGTGATATTTTCAGAGACTACAGCTTTAAAAATGTTTAGTGTATTTCCTGAACATTCACAAAATACGTTATCAGCACTTTAACAGACGCCATTCTTGATATAAAAATGGGTTTGTCTATATTTAACTCTACACAAGGAAACCTATTTCATTAACTTGAATTTTCAATCCTGTCCTTTTTTTTTTTTTTTTTTTTTTTACACAACACGTTTTAAGCATCTAACTGCATTCATTCTAATTCCTGTAAAAGAAACCCAACAAACCGCAAACTCCCATTACTGAGACTGTGTCTTTTAAAACACAACTATTTACACTGAATACAGTTAGTTTGTAAAACTGTAAATAAGAGCTTTTTGTACTGGCCTGGTATTTATTTACATTACTTTGTAATATAGTCTTTTAAAATGGCAACCTTGTACAAAAGAGAAAACAAATGTGTGTGTAATTGTATGGCATTGAAGCTGTTTCTTTCTGTACCACATGCTGGCCGTTCTGTATCAAGTACGAGGGCAGACTCCTTTATTTCCGATAAGAAAAATAATGTACTTGATGTTTCCCGTGTGATCTTCTGGGGTAAATCTGCACCAGATGTCAAATTTTGATTTGCTTCATGAAGGACAGATTACAGTTTTCCTCTTTGTCAGGTAATTCAAATTAATGTTTTTTTTGTTTCTGGAGTCTCTAACAAAGGAACTACTTAAGATGAGATTTCTGTTTTTAAATTATGCATTACAGTCAGATATTCAATGGTTATTATCCTTTCACCTGTATAAGGGGCCGATGTCAACTGGGTTTTGTTTTTTGTCTAAACCAAGTTTAACATCCTCATACAAGTTTATGGCAATGAAAACTTGCTTGAAGCAGGTCAGGAAGGTGGTCAGCTGCAGGTCAAATGCACCTTTCAAATTCTGACCTGATGCCATCACCACATTCTTAAAGCTTGTCAGCACACAGGCCCGTAGACATACAAATAGGAGTTTTTATGATGAGCGCCTCACAAAAACCGAAGCTAGGTTGTTCTTTTAAAACACTTCTACAAATTTCATGGGCAGTTGATTATGGTTGTGGCTTATCCTTTCAGGGCAATATCTATGAAGCATGATAGCTGTTCGAATCTTCCCTAGCTGTTACCGGGTGTCCACAGGTTGGTAACTAATCCCTA